TAAAAGGAAAACAGCCAAATACAATATAACAGCGGTATGGTAGATTAAACTGGTGAAACACCGCTGGGAGGGTTTACCACTGATGATCCAGACCCTCACATTATTTTATCATCGTAGTAAGGGCAGTAGAAAATTGTTCATTTCTAAAATAATCTACGCGTAAAAATAATTTACGCATCTGGCCGGTAAGCGGAACACTGTGGGTTCGATTCCCATCCCTGGACACTTTTATTTTTGCATTTATCATTACTCTTCATAATTCATCCTTTCATACATCATCCCAAAGGTTAGTAATAATCGTTATTTCTCCTTAAAATAAATTTTGATTTTTCGTTCAAAAGAAACACATTCGGGAGTTTTTTTCAAATGTCGTTTTTACAATCAAAAGCCGCATTATATTATATTGTATTAAAAATAGTTTAATTTTTATATATATTCAATTTTATATACACGTCCACACAAGGTAAATTCATCTTACACTTCACGTTAATGATAAAGTGTTGGCACTAGCGGGAGAGAGAACAAACACCTTATCAAAATCCTAATCCAATGAAGACTGAATTGTGACTAGACCATGTGCTAAGACATAAAAGGTTTTCTCTAAATATGAATATGCCTCCATAAGTAAATAGCAAAAAGTCCAAGAAAATTAAGAAAACATAAATAATAATAATAAATCTTGTTTCGTTAGTCACCCCGACAAAGTGACAATCCTGGACGTAAGATTATCTTGAAGGAAATGACCTATATTTAAAAGGCGCCTGGCTCTCCTCTACATTGTCCTGTGATTCTACCTTTGTTGTTTCATTTTGTGGCACCGTCTTAATATAACGTCAGTACTTGACACAACAGAATGAAAGTTTACCTTTGTATACTCTCATGGACAAAACTTAAGGAAGTGGAAAGTCTATGTTTGTGATTGGTCGTCTGTTTATTATTATTTTATTTTTTATTTTTGGAGTCAGAGGCTGTTCACACTTTGTTATTTCGTGTGCCTTCAATAATTGTCACTGTAATATCTTTCAGAGTTATTGTCCCAATACAGATGCTAAAAGTTACAACTTCTTTAAGTTTTGTCTATGAATGTAATTTTCGGTCAGTAAATGAAAAATACCTTCATTGCCTCATTCCCAGTATATGCAAATTCATCTAAAAACAGTCCTATTTACATATTCATGAATTTCTATATTTCAACGTTCTGAAGAGATTAATAGAATGACCGAATGCCGTGGTCCATTTGGATGAGGAAAGCGAAGACTAGAACGCGGCTGATTCCACACTAGTCTGTTCAGTGATACGCTAACCTTGACCTATGCACGGTGTGGCCACTGGACATGTGTCAGACCTGGAGGCTGTTGTTGGGTGTTGCCTGGTTTTGCTTGGTTTTCAAGCAAACTATGTAAATAAACTTTTAGTGAATATGTAAATATATGCATAACACATTAGTAACTACATGTACCGTGATATGTATTCATAATATTTATTTATTTGTGACCATTGACCTGTGGTGCAGAATTTGCATAAGTAATTCTTGTTTATTATTATAGAATGTAACTGTTGCTATTATGACTATTAAATTATTAGTAGGTGTTGTGTTGTTTATCTTTTATAAACTACAACTTATATATTTATTATTTAATTATAATTATTTATTTATCACACACATTTAAATTTAGTAAAGATTAATTATATATTTACAAAACACAGTCAGTGTATTGTTCTTAATTCCATTTTCTTAAATTCACATCACTTATATATTTCACACTATTCTACATATTCCTCCCTTGTTTAGTTAGTATCTAATCATGTCCTTAAATCTAGAAGGAACATGTATTTGTCTTCCACTTCTAGTGATGACAGTCTTGTTTTCATTCTCATTAGGTGATTCATTTGGGTATAAACAGTCCATATCAGATATAGCAATCTGCTCTTCTGGTACAATATCTTCTAAGGTTGCTTCTTGTTCTGGTAGATACCTTGAAGTACTAGGAAGTTCCATTCTAATTTCTGGAGTCTTAATCAAAGTGGTATTCAAATCAATTCCTTTGTTAAAATCTTGTAAGACATTGGCATGTCTTAAATGCTTTGCATTCCTAATGATAAAGCTACCTGTCTCAGTATTGACCAACTTGAATGAATTTGGAGATATAGTCTCTAGAATGATAAATCTTTGGTTGTCATAATTTGGTGTCAACTTGCTTTTCATTTCAGTGTTTGCGACATAAACAATATTACCTTTCTTGAAGTCATGAGGCAAGGCCTTATTCTTGCTATCAGCATATTTCTTCATTCTTTCTTTATAGGCTTGATTATGCTCCATCACTTCTTTCAGATCAACACATAGTCTGATTTCTTCAGTACCCTTTTTTGGAACTGCCACAATGTTTGAGATCCATTCAGAAGCTTCATGGACTTCCTCAATAATGCCATCTTCTATCATTTTGTCTAGCTCTTGATTGATGGCTTCTACCATTTTATATGGAAAATGTCTGCATCTCTGAGCTACAGGAGTAACATTTTCTTTTAGAGTTATTTTTGACTATAACCCTTCACATTTCCTTGACCTTGAAAAAGGTTCATGTTTTCTTGTATCAAATTATATATATCCTTCGGAATAACTTCCTGTTGAATATTCCTTATTTTTGTTCCACGCTTTATAATTTCTAATTCGAAACTTGCTTTCTTTCCTAAAAGAGGTTCTGCTTTACCTTCAATCACAAAAATCTGTTCCTTTATAGACCTTTCACCCCATGAAACATCTGCAAAGAAATATCCACAACATGGAAGAGGTGAAGTTTGTCCATAGGCATAAAATTTCCTTTCTGTACCATTTAAAGTTGGCATTTGAGACTTAGGAAAAATATTTTTCAAATTTTCAAGTCCTATGAATGTTGTATCACTACCTGTATCAATAGTCATTGTTATTTCCTTTCCATCTATATAGATATTTTCTTTGTTATCAGAGCCTAAAAAGAAAGTGTATTCATCTGAGTCTTCATTATTTTCTGAAATATTTTGAATATTTCTTTTCTTTCCTTCAATATTTTTATATTTATTTTTATTTCTACAAACTCTATTAAGATGACCCATCTTGTTACAAAATGTGCATTTCATATTTCTAGCTCCACATTTATATGGAGGATGTGTAGTTAAGCCACATCTATAGCATTCTTCCAAATTAGGTGCACTTACCTTGGAGGTGCTTCCTTTTTGATGGTACACATTATGAGCTTTTTGTCCTTTAACAGTTGATTCATTAGCTGCTTGGAAATTATTTTTATAGTTTACTCTATTTATTGAGGTCATATCTTCATTTGTCAATACTCTAAATTCTTCTTTGGCTGTTTCAAACATTCTTGATATCTCAATTGTTCTTTGAAGATTCAAATTATCTTGTTGCAACAACTTTTCTTTTAATTGCCTATTATAGCATTTTTCTATTATCTGATCTCTGATCATGTCTTCTTCTAAATTTCCAAATTCACAGGATTTGACTAATTCTCTTAGGGCAATGACATATGAATCAATATTTTCATCTGTATTTTGTTTTCTTTGCCTAAATTTAAATCGTTCTGATACAATATTTTTTTGTGGTGTGAAATATTTAGTTAAAGCTTCTTTTGCTTTTTCATACGTATCTTTTTCTTCTGGCAAATTAAAGAAAATTCTTTGGACTTGTGGTCCAAGGCAATGCAAAAGTGTTGCCCTTTTAACGTCATCTTTCTTTGTTGAAACACCGCTTGCTAATTCATAAATTAAATATGAATTCATCCAATGTTTGTACTCGGAATACAAATCTGTAGCATTAAGGTTCAACGGTAATGGAGACGTCAAATTATTTGCCATCTTCTGTTACGCTTATTTAATTATTATTATTATTTTTTTTTAATCCTCGTCGCCAAATATGTTGTGTTGTTTATCTTTTATAAACTACAACTTATATATTTATTATTTAATTATAATTATTTATTTATCACACACATTTAAATTTAGTAAAGATTAATTATATATTTACAAAACACAGTCAGTGTATTGTTCTTAATTCCATTTTCTTAAATTCACATCACTTATATATTTCACACTATTCTACAGTAGGCAAAATAAATGAGTGATCTTTAAATCCTAAATACACCACATATCGTAGTTAACTTTAGTGATAAATAAGTACATTTTATGATAAAGTTATAAAGATAATATTCAAATATAATATTTCTTCTATAATGTATATATACACTCGCTCTTTTCTCTTGATATAACCCGTGGATTTCTGGAGTGATTCCGTTCTTCCTGTGGTGAATCTGTATAAGACCGATGGTCTTAATAAAGCTTTGTGTGTGTGAATCTCTATATTCAGTACTATAGTACTACCGCATTATTACTATTAATACTAATAAGAATAATATTAAAATACTACGTATTTGTTTTGGACAAATATTCACATTTACCTCTATTTATTTCATGCTATAATTATAATCTCTATTCATGATAAAATTGTGAAAAAAGTATTAAAATTTCAAATATATTCTCACAATGAGTATCTTTTTTATTTAAAAAACGCTAGCTTTCAAGTGTTAATCGCTCTTCAATGGGCTTACTATAATATCGACTTTATCCCACCAGAAATATTTACATTCTACTTGAGACAACTAGCATGCCTGTTTAAGGATTATAAAGATCCGAAAGCTTGCACTTTGCACGAATAAAGAAACGCATTGCTGCCGTTTATATATTCTTTAACTTTATGGCATTTTTCTCTTTCCCATCCCTGGACACTTTTATTTTTCCGTTCATCATTACTTTTCATAATTCATCCTTTCATACCTCATCCAAAAAGGTTAGAAATAGTCAATATTTCACCTTGAAATAAAAAAATTTGATTTTTCATTAAAAATAAACTCATGCGGTGTAACTTCTCAAGTGTTGTTTTACAATCACAAGCCACAGTGTATTATATTGTATTATAAGTTACTTTATGTATCATTTACGAACTTAAAAATACGTCCAGGGTAGCCTAGTGGACATGGCATCTGCCCGGTAAGCGGAGCATTGTGGGTTCGTTTCCCATCCCTGGCCACTTTTATTTTTCCGTTCATCATTACTTTTCATAATTCATCCTTTCATACCTCATCCAAAAAGGTTAGAAATAGTTGATATTTCACCTTGAAATACAAATTTGATTTTTCGTTAAAAAGAAACTCATGCGGTGTAGCTTCAAGTGTCGTTTTACAATCACAGGCCGCAGTGTATTATATTGTCTTCTAATTTTGTAAATATTTCTGGTGGGATAAAGTCGATATTATAGTAAGCCCGTTAAAGAGCGATTAACGCTTGAAAGCTAGCGTTTTTTAAATAAAAAAGATACTCTTTGTGAGAATATATTTGTAATTTTAATAATTATATATACATAGAAGTAATTTATTATTAGAAAATTCTGCTGATACTCACAAATTTGCATCAGTATTTTTTTTTAGGTTCTGCTCTATCTTATTTAATTTCAATTGTCTATCTCTAAATATATTTTTATACATTCCATTTTTAATTAATTTCCACATACAAGGGATAGCTATTGTTTGTGCAAGGGGTTCCCAACCTATTTTTAACGTCAACAAAGTCAAACATATTTTTGATTACACACGAATTGTGTGTCTATATGAATTTTGAAGGAAGGAAGAAGCTTGTTTGAAGATCTTCAGAAAAAAAAAACATAGAATAACTTGATAGATCACATACACTCAAGGACAAAACTTGAGGAAGTTGTACCTTTTAGCATGTATATCGGGATTGAGATAATAACTCTGAAATATATTATAGTGAATTTTATTGAAGACACACGAGATAACCAAGTGTGAACAAAAGTATCTCTTCGAATCTATTTTAAAGGCGTAAGATTCTTTTTTATATTAAACAATTTCTACTGCCCTTACTGCAATGGAAAAATTAATGAGAGGCCCTGGCTCATCAGTGGTGAACCCTCTCAGCGGTTTCGCCAATTTAATCTACCATACCGCTGTTATTTCGAAGTTTGATAATAGATGGCGCGCTAGTGCATCATATTATAAAAGTATCTCTATCTCCTTCAAAAAAAAAAAAAAACAGATAGTCAGTGACATCAAAGACTTTCCACTATTTAAGATTTGTTCACGAGTGTTTAAACAACAAGGTCTATATATTCACTTCAGAAATCCGCGGGTTATATCAAGAGAAAAGAGCGAGCGTATATATATTATAATTTAAATAAAAAGACATATTTTGGGGATCAAATTATCATTTAATTTACCAATATTTCAGTTGGCTGAATGCCAACCTTTATATTATTATAGGAGAAATATTATATTTGAATATTATCTTTACAACTTTTAGAAAATGTACTTATTTATCACTAAATTAATCACTTAACTACGGTACGTGTACATGTAATTATTAATGTGTTATGCATATATTTACATATTTACCAAGGGTTTATTTCCATAGTTTGCTTGCAAACCATTTCTAAGATTCCACCCTTCAGTGTAGCATATATTAGCAGATTTGTCCAATCCAGTATTACAGCTCTAAGAAGCGGTCTCTGGTAGATTAAATTGGCGAAACCGCTGGGAGGGTTCACCATTGATGAGCTAAGCCCTCCCAATATTTTATCATCGCAGTAAGGATAGTAGAAGTTTGTTTTCTATTCAAAAAGAAACATTCGTGCTTTAATGCTTCCATTTCTTATTTACATATGTGTTGGGCAGGAAATGGAGGACGGTGTACCAACGGCCTGAAGGGAAGCCCGTACCGGTAACACCGCCTCGGACATGGAGTAAGTGATGAAATAGTTTTTTAAAATAATCCTTCACTTCTTGTTCCGAACTCTGACTTAGATGAAAAATGTTTTACATTTTGCTTTTCTACCCATACAAAATATGCCTGGTACGGTATACATAATAATCATGACGCACCTAAAGAATGCTTTTACTATGATGCACCTCATGTCTACAACAAGAAGTTTGATCTTTGCACTTACAAGGCACCAAATTTCTGTTTGGGTTACTTGCACTCTCTGGTGGGGCTGTGCTTGTACACAAACGGAGATCAATTTTCGAGGAGAAAAATAAAAAGGTGCCAAGTGCGGGATTCGATCCTGGGTCGTGTTTGGCGAAAATCAACTGCATGTACCATCGCGAAACCAATTCACATAGGTCACAAACTACGTATCAAGATATAAAATACTTTACACTTCCTTTAGTTTTGTCCATGAGTGTAAATTGCCATATAGAACAGATGCGTCATCTAAACACTTCTTTGGAAGATTCCGAGGATTGAAGGAATCCCGTATGGATCTTATGGAATCAAGGGCTGAGGAGGACCATTAGCCTGAAACCGTGGTCTACAAGTTGGCGCTCTGAATTCGCCAAAGCTGGTGTTGTGGTTGCCATTGACTCGAGCCCACTAATTTTGGGAGACGTTCAATGGATGACGCTTTGATGGGAGAGGTGTTCTTTATTTTGTAGCTTTTTATTTTTAGTTATTGTTCAATGCACATCACATGTGTAACAGTATAAGAATTTAAATCCAGTTTTGAAGACTTCATCCATTTTTTATAAACGTTTTTTTGTCTTTTTTTTTTTACATCTCGGGGACCCATATTGTCACCCTTTTCAAAAAAGGCGGGTAGACAATACGTCACTAATTTGCTTACCAACTTTTTTTAAAAGGCGACAGTGGATCGCTGAAACGTCAAAAGGACAATAAACGTTTATAAAAAGTTTGATGGGGACTTGAATTAATCCAAACTCAATTATGGTATTCTCTATCGTAAATAAATACTGGCCGAAGTATCTTTATTTTCAAGAAAGAGATATTCTCTATGTTTATGAATTGTGTAATCGGGCACATTTGTGTGTGTAAACGTGCAAAATGTGTGTAATCCTGCAAAGTATGTGCAACCGTGCACCACGTGTGTAACTGTGCAACATGTATATAACCGTGCAATATGTGTGTAACCGTTCAACACGTGTGTAACCGTGTAACATGTGTATAACGTGCAACATGTGTTTAACCGTGCAACATTTGTGTAGCCGTGCAACACGTGTGTAACCGTGCAAAACGTGAGTAACCTTGCAACATGCATGTGTCCAGATAAGTTTCTCATCGATGCCCAAGACTCCGTGACAATGCACCGGAATAAAGGGTCCGTCTAGAACATCCCTTCGTCCAACAATAAATTACAGAAATCTCCACCCCCTTCTCTCATTCTACTTGGTGTACAACATCTCTAAACAACAAAACGGAGCAGAAGTTGCCCAACACAAATTACGAGGATCAAGTTGTTGCTATAGACTTATTGATAAAAGAGAATATTAAAATGACAAGCGTCTTAGTTGGCTCTTCAAGTGTGCGTCATTTTGTGTGTGTTGTGTGTCGGTTTATAACACAATAAACACTTATTAATACTGATATTAACACTTATATAACACTCTCTATCACATTATAAGTAATTTATTATAAGAGTATTATTTTGAAGTACTAATTATAATAAGAGACTAGCGGATGAACCCGGCTTCGCCCGGGTTTTACCCGAGTAAAGGTTTGTCGAACAAATCTCTCGATAAAGTGAACGTTTTTTCCCGGTCCTTTGAAAAATACTCGATAAGTTGAATAAAATCAATATTAATTGGTTCCCTCGGTAATTGGAAGTTAAAGGAATAGTATCTTGCTTTGGTATTGTATCATTATTCTTGTCTCAAATAAATTGCCGTGTCATCCTGAATTTTGTCTTTCCAAATTTTCTACATTACAAAATCATCGTATCATCATGATAATATTTAGAGCAGATTGTATTTATCTTGATTATTTTTAGGCGAAAAGTTATTTCAAAAATTTTATTTACTAGAAACCTTCCCAGTACTATACTAAATAACTTCCCAAAGTTTCATGGCGTTCCAATGAGTGGTTTGGTCAGGCATAAAGGACAGACACACATACATTCATTTTTATATATATATAGATAGTAATAACACTTATTATAAGTAAAATAACACTTAGTATAAATAGAAAGAGTTTTATACCCTGAAAGAACTTATGGAATACCTTGACGTGCCTTATACAAGGCTATCTGAAGCAAGAAGTTGAATATTCTTTGAGTGTGAAAGCTTGTTTTGCTTTGTCGTCTGTTTTGCACAAGTTGAATCTGGTTAGAACGATGTATGAAAATTAGATGATTCTTTTGTTGCCATAAATACGATATAATTAACTCGTTTCTATATATATCTAAAAATGTTTAAAGTTTAATAAATTAATTTTATAAATCTGAGAGTTGTCTTCAAAAACGATCCAACACTATCACACAGATCCAAATGATAAAAAAGAAGAGTTTAAATATAATTTTTAGACATTTGCACACAAAATTTATCTATTTATTACACCTAACAAGTTACTTTGATCCAAATCTATATTTTTCTTCAGCTCCTTCTGGATGTAAATTTTTCTATATCTACTAGTGAGCATTTACATATAAATTTACAAGTTTTAGTCTTTATCTTTTTAAACGTACGTGTGTTATTGGATGTTTCAGAAAAAGGTACGAAATAAACGCCACATTATTCCCCGCATAATAATTCAAAGTTTCTATTTCCACCATATTTCTACTCCACAATCATCTCAAATGTAGTTATACCCTATTTATACCTCTATAAAAATATTCTGAGAATCTACGTACACTCCTGGACAAAACTTAAGGAAGTTGTACCTTTCAGCATGTATATCAGGACAATAACTCTGAAATATATTACAGTGACCTTTATTAAAGACACATGAGATAACCAAATGTGAACAGCATCTGTCTTCTTCGAAAAAACAGTTGACCGGCGAAAAAAAAAAACTTCTATATGCTAAGTTTTTTTCCAAAAGTGTATTGATAAAAAACTAACTGCGGACGACGAGATAACCTGGGTTTCAGAACGTTTACCTTCTTCAGAGTAGTTCTCTGTGACAGAGAGAGAGAGAAATAACAATATTACTTGAAAACTAAGAGAGGATGAGTAAAATATTGAACTACACTCATGAAAAAAACTTAAAGGAAGTGGAAAGTCTTC